GGACGGACGGATGGATAGATGGACGGACGGATGGATGGACGGATGGACGAATGGATGGGTTGATGGACGGACGGATGGATGGACGGACGGATGGATGGACGGTCGGATGGATGGACGGTCGGACGGATGGATGGACGGATGGATGCAGGGACGGATGGACGGACGGATGGATGGATGGATGGATGGACGGATGGATGGATAGATGAACGGACGGATGGATGCACGGATGGACGAATGGACGGGTTGATAGATGGACGGACGGACGGATGGATGGGCGGTCGGATGGATGGATGATCGGACGGATGGATGGATGGTCGGACGGATAGACGTATGGACGGACGGACGGATGGATGGGACGGACAGTCGGATGGTCGGACGGACGGACGGATGGATGGTGGGATGGATGGATGGATGGATGGATAGACGGACGGATGGATGGATGCACGGATGGATGGATGGTCGGACGGACGGATGGATGCACGGATGGACGAAAGGGTGGATGGACGGATGGATGGACGGACGCACGGATGATGGATGGACGGACGGATGGGATGGTTAGATGGATGGTTATGCACGGATGGACGAATGGATGGGTGGATGGATGGACGGACGCACGGATGGATGGACGGACGCACGGATGATGGATGGGCGGATGGACGGACGGATGGATGGAGGGTCGGACAGACGGACGGACGGATGGATGGACGGACGGACGGATGGATGGATGATCGGACGGATGGATGGATGGTCGGACGGATAGACGTATGGACGGACGGTCGGATGGATGGACGATGGACGGACGGTCGGATGGTCGGACGGACGGACGGACGGACGGATGGTCGGATGGATGGATGGATAGACGGATGGATGGATGGATGCACGGATGGATGGATGGTCGGACGGATGATGGATGCACGGATGGACGAAAGGGTGGATGGACGGATGGATGGACGGACGCACGGATGATGGATGGACGGACGGATGGATGGTTAGATGGATGCACGGATGGACGAATGGATGGGTGGATGGATGGACGGACATGCACGGATGGATGGACGGACGCATCGGATGATGGATGGGCGGATGGATGGACGGATGGATGGAGGGTCGGACGGACGGACGGATGGACGGACGGACGGATGGACGTACGGACGGATGGTAGGATGGATGGACGGACGATGGATGGACGGACGCACGGATGGACTGACGCACGGATGGACTGACGCACGGATGGATGGACGACGCACGGATGGACGGACGGATGGATGCAGGGACGGATGGATGGACGGATAGATGGACGGACGGACGGATCGGATGGATGGATGGACAGACGGATGGTCGGACGGACGGATGGATGGATAGATGCATGGACGGGTGGATGGACGGATGGATGGACGGACGGATGGATGAATAGACGGACGGATAGACGGATGGACGGACGGAGATGGGACGGACGGATGGATGCATGGACGGATGGACAGATAGACGGATGGATGCACGGACGGATGGACAAATGGATGGGTGGATGGATGGACGGACGGACGAACGGACGATCAAATGGACGGGCGGATGGAAGGACGGATGGATGGTCGGATGGATGGACGGACGCACGGACGGATGGATGATGGATGGACGGATGGATGGATGCAGGGACGGATGGATGCAGGGACGGATGGATGGAGGATGGATGGACGGACGGATAGATGGGCGGATGGACGGACGGACGGACGGATGGACGGACGGACGGATGGATAGATGGACGGACGGATGGATGGACGGATGGATGAATGGATGGGTTGATGGACGGACGGATGGATGGACGGACGGATGGATGGACGGATGGACGGTCGGATGGATGGACGGTCGGACGGATGGATGGACGGATGGATGCAGGGACGGATGGACGGACGGATGGTTGGATGGATGGACGGATGGATGGACGGATGGATGGATAGATGGACGGACGGATGGATGCACGGATGGGACGAATGGACGGGTTGGATGGATGGACGGACGGACGGATGGATGGATGGCGGTCGGATGGATGGATGATCGGACGGATGGATGGATGGTCGGACGGATAGACGTATGGACGGGACGGTCGGATGGATGGACGGACGGTCGGTCGGATGGTCGGACGGACGGACGGATGGATGGTCGGATGGATGGATGGATAGACGGACGGATGGATGGATGCACGGATGGATGGGATGGTCGGACGGATGGATGCACGGGATGGACGAAAGGGTGGATGGACGGATGGATGGACGGACGCACGGATGATGGATGGACGGACGGGATGGATGGATAGATGGATGCACGGATGGACGAATGGATGGGTGGATGGATGGACGGACGCACGGATGGATGGACGGACGCACGGATGATGGATGGGCGGATGGACGGACGGATGGATGGACGGGTCGGACAGGACGGACGGACGGATGGACGTACAGACGGATGGATGGATGGAGGATGGATGGATGGACGGACAGAGGAATGGATGAATGTATAGACGGATGGATGGACGGACGGATGGATGGTCGGATGGATGGATGCATGGATGGACGGATGGATGGATGGACGGACGGACGGGATGGACGGACGGACGGATGGTCGGATGGACGGACAGATGGATTTATGGTCGGACGGGACGGATGGATGGATAGATGCACGGATGGACGTCCGTCCATCCGTGCATCCATCCGTCCGTCCCTGCATCCATCCGTCCGTCCGTTCGATCGACCCGTCCATCCGTCCGTCCGTGCATCCATCCATCCATCCGTCTATCCGTCCGTCCATGGATGGATGGATGGATGGATGGATGGATGGACGGACGGATGGTCGGATGGATGGATGCACGGATGGATGCATGGATGGACGGGTGGATGGACGGACGGACGGACGGACGGACGGATGGATGGATGGACGGACGCACTGATGGACGGACGGACGGACGGACGGACGGACGGACGGACGGGACGGGACGGACGGATGGATGGACGGATGGATGGACGGACGGATGGATAGATGCACGGATGGACGGACGGATGGATGGATGGTCGGACGGATGGATGGATGGTTGGACGGATGGATGGACGGACGGAAATGGACGGATGGATGGACGGATAAATGGACGGACAGAGGATGAATGGACGGAATGTATAGGACGGAGGAATGGACGGACGCACAGGACGGACGGACGGATGGATGGATGCACGGATGGACGGACGGATGAATGGATGGGTGGATGGACGGATGGATGGATGCGGGGACGGACGGATGGATGCACGGATGGACGGATGGATGGATGCAGGGACGGACGGATAGACGGACGGATGGATGGTTGGACGGACGGACGGATGGATGGATGCAGGGACGGACAGATGGACGGATGGATGCACAACGATGGACGGATGAATGGATGGACGGACGGACTGATGGATGGATGAATGTATAGACGGATGGATGGATGGACGGATGGATGGACAGAGGAATGGACGGATGAATAGACGGACGGATAGACGGATGGACGCACAGACGGACGGACGGATGGATGCACGGATGGATGGACGGACGGATGAATGGATAGGTGGATGGACGGATGGATGCAGGGACGGACAGATGGACGATGGATGCACGGATGGATGGATGCAGGGACGGACGGACGGATGGTTGGACGGACGGACGGACGGTCGGATGGATGGATGAATGAATGGACGGATGGACGGACACACAGACAGACGGACGTCGGACGGATGGATGGTCGGACGGATGGATGGATGGACGGACGGATGGTCGGACGGATGGGATTGGACGGATGGTCGGATGGATGGATACGATGGACGGATGGATGGTCGGATGATGGTCGATGATGGATGGATATGATGGACGGATGAATGATGATCGGACGGATGGATGGATGGTCGGACGGATAGACGGATGGATGGACGGACGGATGGATGGACGGATGGATGGACGGACGGATAGACGGATGGATGGATGGTCGGATGGATGGCGGATGGATGGACATATAGATAATACATGGATGATAGATAGTTGGGGGTTGAAACATTCCGATACGTTTTCTGTGACGCTCCGTCTTCTCTCTCCTCTCTCTCTCTCTCCTCTCTCCTCCTCTCCTCTCTCCTCTCTCTCTCTCTCTCTCTTTCTCTCTTCTCTCTTCTCTCCTCTCTTCTCTCTCTCTCTCTCTCTTCTCCTCTCAGCTCTTCTCTCTCCTCTCTCTCTCTTCTCTCTCTCCTCTCCTCTCTTCTCTCCTCTCTCTCTCTCTCTCCTCTCCTTCTCTCTCTCTCCTTCTCTCTCTCTCTTCTCTCCTCTCTCTCTTCTCTCTCTCCTCTCCTCTTCTCCTCTCTCTCTCTCTCCTCTCTCCTCTCTCCTCTCTCTCCTCTCCTCTCTTCTCTCACTCTTCTCTCTCTTCTCTCACTCTCTCCTCTCCTCTTCTCTCTCTCTCTCCTCTCTCCTCTCCTCTCTTCTCTCCTCTCTCTCTCTTCTCTCTCTCTCTCTCTCACTCTCTCTCTCTCCTCTCCACTCTCTTCTCTCCTCCTCTCCTCTCCTCTCCTCTCTTCTCTCCTCCTCTCCTCTCTTTTCTCTCCTCTCCTCTCTCTCTCTCTTCGTCTCCACTCTCTTCTCTCCTCTCTCTCTCTCTCTCTCCTCTCCTCTCTTCTCTCTCCTCCTCTCCACTCTCTTCTCTCCTCTCTTCTCTCCTCTACCTCTCTTCTCTCTCTCTCTCTCTCCTCCTCTCTCCTCTCCTCTCCTCTCTTCTCTCCTCTCCTCTCTCTTCTCTCTCTCTCTCTCTCACCTCTCTTCTCTCTCCTCTCTCCTCTCTTCTCTCCTCTTCTCTCTCTTCTCACCTCTCCTCTCTTTCTCTCCTCTCCTCTCTTCTCTCACCTCTCTTCTCTCCTCTCCTCTCTTCTCACCTCTCCTCTCTTTCCTCTCCTCTCCTCTCTCCTCTCTCCTCACCTCTCTCTCTCCTCTCCCAGCAATGTGAAGGTGGTCTGTCGGCCCTGCAGGTGGTCTCCATGCTGCGTGGAGTGGCGTCCGGCATGCGTTATCTGTCGGAGAGAAGTTACATTCACAGGAATCTGGCCGCTCGCAGCGTTTTGGTGAATGGACAGCTGGTGTGCAAAGTGTCCGGCTTACGTGGACCCGGAGATGTGGTAAGCTACTTGTGTTGTCAGCTTTTGATGGATATCTGTGCCCATTGGGGAGATTTTCCTTCTCCTTCTTTGTGACCTCAGAGGAAGTAAAGATAATTCCTCCAATCGGGTTCACAGACATCATTGGAAGCCTAAGAGAGGCCCTGCCCCGTCCATCCTACATTTCTATTGCTGGTTCTCCATTGGAGAGAGGAATCCCACTTTGTGTTCATGTAGTTCTGTCGCATCAAGTGGAATCGTTTCTTCGAATTATTTATAGCAGAACTATAGGCAACACTTTTTTTTTTCCTTTTGGATATGGAAGAGTTATAACCCTGCTGACTGTGTCCCATTGGGGAGATTTACCCTCATTTCAGGTCCCATAGCCTAACCAGGAAGTGAGAGGAAATCCTTTCAAAGTGAGTGTCTCCAATAGAAGATTTCTCCTCTATTCCTGTTCTGGTGTCGGCCCACAAATTCGGGATTTTCTTTTACTTTCACTTTCATTGATAATGGTAAACAGGACAAATAGAGAGGGGGGATCTCCCTACTGGGGGCACAGACAGCAATAAAAACCTGGCAGGGGTTCTAATCCATCTCCACTCCATCTAAAAGTTTATACTTTAACGTTGAGTTATCTGTCCTCAAAATGGAAGACATTTGCTACTTTGTTTCAGGTTGGCAGACAGTCGTTACGTTGGATGGCACCTGAAGCTCATCAGCAGAGGAAGTTCTCCAGCTCTAGTGATGTGTGGAGCTACGGGATTGTCATGTGGGAAGTGGCATCCTACGGAGAAAGGCCATACTGGGACATGAGCAATCAGGAGGTGACTGAGCACTGATTGGTTCAGAGTTTTCTGCATCACCACCCACCTCAACACCACTTACACAGACATTACGGGTGGATCACTCATACTCTAGCAGGGGCGGACTGACCATTCGAGCACTCGGGCACTGCCCGAGGGCCCGGGGTCAGTAGGGGGCCCCATGAAATGCCCCTGGTAACTTTTTATAGGCTTTTTTGAGTGTGGGCAAGGACACAGGGGCCCCATGATCCCCTATTGCCCAGGGGCCCCATGAGTTGTCAGTCCGCCCCTGTACTCTAGTAATCTACTGATTGCAGTGGGAGTTCTTACACAGCGCAGGCCAGTCATTCTCAACCTTTCATCCATGGAGGAACCTTACAATAGTTTTTTCAGGCCTCAAAGAAACCCTACTAAAAAATATCTACAAATACTAGAATACAAATGTGACCTGCAGGAGGGGGGCCCTCTTACATTGATGGACAGTGGAGGAAGGCTCCCTTTATGTTGGTGGCAGTGGCCGATTGGACCCGTGCATTTGGCCAGTGCAGAAGGCCCCCTTTACATTGACCACCAGTTGCAGGACGGCCCCACATACATTGGTGGTCAAATGGAGATGTGCCTGGTTACATTGGGGGTCAGTGGGAAGAATGCACCTTATATTGGGAGTCAGTGGGAAGGATGCCCCTTACATTGGGGGCTAATCAGTGGAAATAGTTCCCCTTACATTGGGGGTCAGTGGGAAGACTGACCCTTACATTGGTGGTCAACGGTAAGAATGCAACTAAAGGAATGATCCTTACATTGGGGATGAAGAGGAAGAATGTCCCTTACATTGGGGGTCAGTGAGAAGACTACCCCTTACATTGGGAGTCAGTGGGAAGAATGCCCCTTACATTGGGAGTCAGTGGGAAGAATGCCCCTTACATTGGGGGTCAAGAATGCCCCTTACATTGGGAGTCAGTGGGAAGAATGCCCCTTACATTGGGGGTCAGTGGGAAGAATGCCCCTTACATTGGGAGTCAGTGGGAAGAATGCCCCTTACATTGGGGGTCAGTGGGAAGAATGCCCCTTACATTGGGAGTCAGTGGGAAGAATGCCCCTTACATTGGGGGTCAGTGGGAAGAATGCTCCTTTTTATTGGAGACTAATTGGAACAATACACCTTACATATGGGGTTCATTGGGAAAAAATGCACCTTACTTTAAGGGTCAATAGGAAGAATGCCCCTTACATTGATGGCCAGTGAAAAGAATGCCCCTTACATTGGTGGTCAGTGGAAAAAAATGCCCCTTACACTGGTGGTCAGTGGGAAGAATGCCCCTTACACTGGTGGTCAGTGGGAAGAATGCCCCTTACATTGGTGGTCAGTGGGAAGGATGCCCCTTACATTGGTGGTCAGTGGGAAGAATGCCCCTTACATTGATGGTCACTGAGAAGAATGCTCCTTACATTGGGGTCAGGGGGAAGAATGCTCCTTATATTGGGGGTCAGTGGGAAGAATGCTCCTTATATTGGGGGTCAGTGGGAAGAATGCTCCTTACATTGGGGTCAGTGGGAAGAATGCTCCTTATATTGGGGGTCAGGGGGAAGAATGCTCCTTACATTGGGGTCAGCGGGAAGAATGCTCCTTATATTGGGGGTCAGTAGGAAAAATGCTCCTTAAATGAAGTGTCAATGGCAAGAATTCTCCTCACATTTTGGGTCAGCGGCAGGAATGTTCCGTACTTTGGGTCAATGAGAACAGATACCGGAAAAGATAATTATATCATTGGTTACCTTTTTAAGAGTTGAGAGCAGAGACTTCACTGATCCCACGTTGTTGGCTCTGCTGAGTGCCACCAATCATGCGACCACAGTATGCAGGCACCACCATGTGACAGATGAATCTTCCAGTACTCAAGGAACCCCCAGCAACCTCTGAAAGAACTCTGGTAGAGAAAGACTGCTCCTTTTGTCCAGTAAAGCCTGTAGAGGTGATGGTCACACCAGGTCCTAGTAAACCAATCAGTGTAACCTGTCTGTTAAATGAGAACCAGGCATGACTGATCTTGTCCAAGAATCTGAATATGAAAAAATAATGAGCAAACATATCTCTGTACAGGCTTTTGGAAAGCTGTAGGAAGTATCAACGAACTACAAAAGTGTTCATCAGCGCCCTTGCTGGTCACTGAGAACTACAAACCGCCTGCCACGGTGGAAGATGGGACTTGTAGTTTATTCATTCACAGATTCTTGTGAATGGACGATGCAGCTGTTTTTTGGTGAAGCCCCACTCAGCTGCGCTGTTTTTAAATTGTGACAGCGGGAACTTTTACCTGCTATCATGAGGGGGGATCGGAGGGTACGGGGGGCTGATGCATAATAACATATTACACGTTACACCAGGGGCGGACTGACCATTTTGAAAACTCGGGCAAGCCGGAGGGCCCGGGGTCAGTAGGGGGCCCCATAAAATGCCCCTGGTACCTTTTTCATAGGCTTTTTTTTGAGTTTGGGCAAGGACACAGGGGCCCCATGATCCCCTATTGCCCGGGGGCCCCATGATTTGTCAGTCCGCCCCTGCGTTACACCCTAAATGCGAACTGTTGATGGACAAATTGGGATTGATTTACGAAGGGCAAACAGACTGTGCACTTTGCTAAGGGCAGTTCTTCCAGAGCTTAGAAAATGAGCAGAAACTGCTGACTTCCATCATCCATTCATGTGCAAGCAAAAATGCTGTTTTTTATTTTCCTTGCATGTGATTGGGTATAAAATGAAGCTTTATCTCATTTACTAAGCTCTGGAGCAACTGCACTTGCAAAGTTCACAGTGTATTTGCCTTTAGTAAATCAACCCCATAGTGCCAGTTTAGGGCAGACAGACACAACTGGGGGAGAGCTACAGACTCAGGCAGGGATGAACTGACAACTCATGGGGCCCCCGGGCAATAGGGGATCATGGGGCCCCTGTGTCCTTGCCCAAACTCAAAAAAGCCTATGAAAAAGGTACCAGGGGCATCTCATGGGGCCCCCTACTGACCCCGGGCCCTCGGGCAGTGCCCGAGTTTCCAAATGGTCAGTCCGCCCCTGGACTCAGGTCTTCTCACTGACCTGCACTATGTAATAGAAGTGGAGGGATGTTGGTGCTCACATACTAACAGCTTACATACATATAACACGTAAGGGGCGTGACATCATGTTAACACTGAAATTGACACTTTTTACACTTTTTTTACACCCTTACATACTTTTGCATAAAAACAGAGATTCTTGGTTCACATTCGGGATGAGCTTGGAGTTTGGTCCAAACGCAAGCTGTTTGGACGAACGCAACAGCTTCTGGCTGTCAATGGTTGGTAAGGAAGAAGCATGTAAGCAAAGGGGCGGGGATAGGGGAGTGACATCATTGCCTAAATATGGCCACATGATGTCACTACTATCCCCACCTCTCCCCTTATATTGCCAATGACAATCCAGGGATCTGTCATTGGGAGAGTGGTGTTGTCGGGTTATGTATGTACGGAGGGCACCAGGTGTGTGCTTTAATTGTCTATCCTATCCCTAGGTGTTGGATGCCATTGAGCAGGAGTACCGCCTTCCTCCGCCCCCTGACTGCCCAAGCGTCCTGCACCTCCTAATGTTAGACTGCTGGCAGCGGGATCGTTCTCAGAGGCTGCGTTTTGATCAGATTGTCAGCTCTTTGGATCGGATGATTAGAAACCCCAATTGTTTAAAAACAGTAGGGGTTTCAAATAGTAGGTGAGTGATGATGTATGTTGAGATGACATCTGATGCAAGGAAAGTCGAAATGCCGTACGATACCACTATGGTATGGAGTGCAGAACATGATGGCATGGAGACAATTATTTGGACTTTATGTTTTTACAAATAAGTCCCCTCTTCTCAAACGGAGACGTGTCCATGAGGTCAAATCTATCTGGATAAACAACTACCGTATTTTCCGGCGTATAAGGCGACTGGTGTATAAGACGACCCCCTAATTTTCCAGTTAAAACATAGGTTTTGGGCTATACTCGTCGTATAAGACTACCCCCCTTCTGAGGCAACACCATTTAACCCCTCGCCTACAGGGCACCTATACCCACTTCCCCCCCAGGCCAATTTTCAGCTTTCAGCGCTGTCACACTTTGACAATTGCGCGGTCATGCAACACTGTACCCATATGAAATAGGTGGCACTGATGGGCACTGATGAGGCACTGGTAGGTGGCACTGATGGGCATTGGCAGGCATCACTGATGGGCACTGAAAGGCAGCACTGATACATGGCATTGATAGGCGGCACTGATTGGCACTAATAGGTGGCACTGATTGGCAGCACTAATAGGTGGCACTGATGGGTGACACTGAAAGGCAGCTCAGATGGGCACTGATATGTGGCATTGATGTGCACTGGTAGGCACTAATATGTGGCATTGATGTCGCACTGACAGCTGGCACTGCTGGGGCTACACTGATCATCAGTTCCCTGATGATTAGTGTACATGTCCCCTCCACGGAAAGCCGATTACCGGCTCTCCTCTCCTCCTGTCAGCGTGACAGCTCGAGAGGAGAGAAATGCCGATAACCAGCATTTCCCTGTTTACATGTGATCAGCTGTGATTGTACACATCTTGACACATCCGAGCCGACATCTTCGGCTCTTTCCGTGATCGGTGATAGCTGTGTCCGAGGGACACATCGCATCGCCGCGCATGCGCAGAGAATGGGATGACGTCATATGAGCCAATCACGGCAAGTGATGTATTCTGTTGGCTGTGTCAGAGAGGCGGGCTGATGATGTCACAACTTCAGCCAATCCGAGCAGGCTCTGTATTCATTAATAGAATACATCGCTCGCCGTGATTGGCTCAGCGCGGTACACTGTATGTAGCTGAAGCTACCATACAGTATTACCGCACATCCAGCGTTCTATACCCGGTGTATAAGACGACCCCCAATTGTTGGGGTATGTCTTTAAGTAAAAAAAGTTGTCTTATACGCCGGAAAATACGGTACAATTATCTACAAATAGTCAATAGAGAAGATGGGACTTTCAGGGTGCATGAACATGAATACTAAACATTAAAAAAGTTATGTAATTTTTTTTTTCGTATTTTTGTAAAAAACACAACAAAAAAGGAAAAAAATACAGAAACATAAAAACAATTTCAGTACTAAGGGAGATTCAAACTTGGTTAGGTGATTGTAGTTACTCCCTACATGTGTCGCCCTCACGGGCTTCTTCAGGGGAGATTTTTTGAAGGAATTTCAACCGCCGAGGCAGTCTAAAGATATATCAAAAGAAAATTATATAATTACCAAACAAGTTTAATCTATCCAATACAAAGTATTTAATCAAATACATCTATATATGGGACTCAATGGCTCACCCTGGATGTGAAAGCTCGCGGAACTAGGAAAAAATGACCTAAGTAGATTACTAACTCAATGATCTTTTGATTACCAAGAAAAAAAAAATCACACTCAAGTTTAAACCCATTCAAATCCTCCCAGCACATGCATTTAGGTAATATATATACTGTATAGTCATTGTTATCAAATTTTGTATGAATTTAAAGGTAATGCTTGCCATTAACCCCTTTGCGCGGGTGCCTCCCGGCCTTTTAAGAGTTTTAGAAGCTGGGAGGCAGGGCAGGGTTTTAGGGTCATGTGACCGCCATGATTCGCTGGCACGGCGGTCACATGATCTGAAAAAGTCCCGATCGAAAGGGGAGATCGATAACTTTCCGTGAGTTACGGACATATATGCTGGGAGCGCGCTCTCAGCACATATGTATTTTCAAATGTCAAGGCCCAGACGCCGAGAGACCGCATATTTGCATGCACTCAGTGTCTAGGGGTTAAGTTCATAATACACTGGGGGGGGGGGGGGGTTGATTTACTAAAGACAAATAGACTGTGCACTTGCAGATGCACTTTGCAAGTGCACTTGCTCCAGAGCTTAGTAAATGAGGTGAAGCTTTGTTTACATGCATTTATAACAAAATTGCATTTTTGCTTGCACGTGATTGGATGATGGAAGTCAGCAGAGTTTCTGCTCATTTACAAAGCTCTGCAGCAACTGCACTTGCAGAGTGCACAGTCTATTTGCCTTTAGTAAATCAACCCCAATCTGCCCTGTTATTAGTCAGGTGAGATATTCACCATCTTCACAGGTCTACAGTGTAATCCAAGATTGTCTCCACCTTGAACATCATGCTTTGATTTCATAAAAACTAATTGTAGGCAAATGTGATCCATGTATCCACTGATACAAACACCACAAAAATCCAGACACTTGCTCTCAGAACCACTTAGTAAATCTAAACTTTTTTCTATACTCTAAAACAGTGGTCTCCAAACTGCGGACCTTTGCTTGCCTTTATCCAAATCTTGGGGCACTATCCCTCCCACTAATACGAGAAACTATTCTGCCTACTGACACCAACAATGGGGCACCATTTCTCCCACTGACACCAATGATGGGGCACTATTCCTCCCACTGATACCAATGATGGGGCACTATTCCTCCCACTGATACCAATGATGGGACACTATTCCTCCCACTGACACCAATGATGGGGCACTATTCCTCCCACTGACACCAATGATGGGGCACTATTCCTCCCACTGACACCAATGATGGGGCACTATTCCTCCCACGGATACCAATGATGGGGTACTATTCCTCCCACTGATACCAATGATGATCCCACTGGATACCAATGATGGGGCACTATTCCTCCCACGGATACCAATGATGGGGCACTATTCCTCCCACTGATACCAATGATGGGGCACTATTCCTCCCACTGATACCAATGATGGGGCACTATTCCTCCCACTGATAATAATGATGGGGCACTATTCCTCCCAATGATACCAATGATGGGGCACTATTCCCCACTGATACCAATGATGGGGCACTATTCCTCCCACTGATACCAATGATGGGGCACTATTCCTCCCACTGATACCAATGATGGGGCACTATTCCTCCCACTGATACCAATGATGGGACACTATTCCTCCCACTGATACCAATGATGGGGCACTATTCACTCCCACTGGGATACTAATGATGGGGCACTATTCCTCCCACTATTCCTCCCCCACTGATACCAATGATGGGGCACTATTCCTTCCACTCCAATAGGGATATTCCTAATGATGATGGGCACTATTCCTCCCACTGATACCAATGATGGGGCACTATTCCTCCCAGGGATACTAATGATGGGGCACTATTCCTCCACTGATACCAATGATGGGGCACTATTCCTCCCACTGATACCAATGATGGGGCACTATTCCTCCCAGGGATACCAATGATGGGACACTATTCCTCCCACTGATACCAATGATGGGGCACTATTCCTCCCACTGATACCAATGATGGGGCACTATTCCTCCCACTGATACCAATGATGGGGCACTATTCCTCCCACTGATACCAATGATGGGGCACTATTCCTCCCACTGACACCAATGATGGGGCACTATTCCTCCCACTGATGGGGCACTATTCCTCCCACTGATACCAATGATGGGGCACTATTCCTCCCAGGGATACCAATGATGGGGCACTATTCCTCCCACTGATACCAATGATGGAGCACTATTCCTCCCACTGACACCAATGATGGGGCACTATTCCTCCCACTGACACCAATGATGGGGCACTATTCCTCCCAGGGATACTAATGATGGGGCACTATTCCTCCCACTGATATCAAATGAGGTGGTTTACTCCCACCTATGCCAGGAAAATTTCCACTCCCACTGGCCACAATTTGACCCCCTAATGTCTGAAGTACAATAAATTGGCCCTTTGCTTCGAAAGTATGGAGACCCCTGCTTTAAAAGCTTACTTCCAACTTAAAACCCAGAGGAAAAATTAAATGGAGGAGCTGCATGGCAGAAGTGAGGGATAGTGGGATAGCCTGCAAGAAAGAGTTTCAACGGTTGTAAAGGCAGATATTTGTTTACCTTCATGCATTCTGTGTGCAGCAGCCGCCCTAATACTTACCTGAGCCCCCTCTCCAGTGATGTGCAAGAGAGCTTCGGCTGTCCCTGGACTCCCTCTCATTGGCTGCGACAGCTCCCACTGCTGTCAATCATAGCCAGTGAGCCAATGAGGAGAGGGCAGGGCCAAACCGGGGCTCTGTGTGTCTTATGGACGCATAAAGCTGGACTCAAGAGAGAGCACACACCAGTTTTTTTATGCGGCTTGCTATTGGGGACACAGTCAAGGGGGAGGAGCCAGGAGCATCGGCAGGGGACCTGAAAAGAAGAAGATATGGGCTGCTCTGTTCAGAATCTCTGCACAGAGCAGTTAGTATGACATGTTTGCTGTTAAAAAAAAAAAAAAAAAAAAGCTGAACGTTTAATGCCACTTTAAATATTTGTGTAGAAGCGAAAGTTCTTATCTGGACAGAGGTCAAGGGCTGTTTAAAGTCCACTTTGAAAGGTCATCAAGGGAAAAAAAGTTGTCTTACCCAGGACTTGTTACTGTTTGACAAGAAACATGTTTTTTCTTGGTTTGTTGTGGGTCTTTGGGGGTCTCTGAAAAGGAGAGATGGTTACAAAGCAGGGGATTCTGGTGGCAAGGTGCTCCCCTGTTGGTCCTTGGTAAAGCAGAAATAACCAGTTCTGGAGCTGATCTTGAGCTAATAGGTTGTGGCCGGCGACAAGGGTGGATATTCCAAAAGTCTTTTTGGCCAACAGACAGCAAAGACCTCTTCTCATAACCAACGGATGT